AAACAGTATTATTAATGATACAAAGACTGTTTTTTTTCTTTGTTCTCTTTTTCCTTTTCTTTTTTTTCTTTTTCCTCTTGTTTTTATATTGTAAAAGACTGCAATTAACTATTACGATCTTACAAAGATTCCCTAAGTGCATTTATTATAATGTTGCAATATATTTATGGAGAAAATACTCTCAAACTTCTATAAATTCTTGCATCATTATCAATATTAATTTTTATCATATTTGGATAAAATATATAATATGCTAATACCACAGCTATTATATTTGTATTTATGTATTCATTACGTGTATTCACATATTATCCTTTTTGAAGAAAAGATATTTAAACTTCGGTTTACAAGATTTTAATAAAGACGAACTGTAAGCATTATTTTAATTTTTCCGTAATTTATAATATGTACAATTTCACAAACGTAAAGGAAAATTTTTTTGTACATTTATATACATAAGAACAATTTATTTTTCATTTGATTTAATCCTTTTTTAATTATATAAAATTTTCGAAAACTATAAATATGTGTTGTGTTTTTATTCGCTGTTGCAAATATAAATGTTCTTTTTTATATATTTATATACTTTTATAAAAATATTCAATATTTGGTACTTTATATAAATCATTGTTATATTGCAGGTTTTTTTCACTATCATAATGACATTTTTATTCGACTACAGTAGTGTACAGAAGTGAAAGTGCAAGATGTCTACAAATATTAAAATTCTTCAGATGATGTACGATTCTAATGCAGCCTTATAGAAATTATATTTATAATTAGGCTAGTATAAATCTTGTTAATTTATGTAAAGCATGCTGTAATTATTGTATATAATATTAATGAAATTGTTTTCATTACAAATTTTTATATTTAGTTTATGCATAATAGTAATCGTAATAATAATGATAATAATGATAATAATAATAATAATATAATAATTATAATAATAATAATAATAAATAATAATAATAATAATAATAATAATAATAATAATAATGATGATGATGATGATGATGATGATATGATAAATTGACGAAGTAAAACAAATTGACAGCTTAAGTATATGTGATAATCATACCACTGCCTGTTCAAAATTATAATACTATAAAAAGCATCCATTATTCAATTTCAAGAATGTATATGGATGAAGTAAATAAGAAATAAATTGTAGAAAATTGTTTAATATTATATAGCGATGTTTCCAACCTTTTTATGTTTATATAGCAAAATATTTCAAAAGATATTAGATTTTCACGGTGATATTTCTTTTTTTCTTTTTTTAGGATGAAAATTTATTTACTTGAAATTGATTATATATTTTGATATTTTATTTTTAATTTATTATTTATTTAAAAAAAACAACATACATATAATGATTATGATTTATATTCATATATTCATGATTTTAATTATTGTATTTGACCAATTTATTTAGGAATTTTTAAACATTATTTATAATAATAATATAAAATATTTTATATTTAAAACATTTTAATAAAATTTTGGCAACATATTGATCGTAATACATCGATTGGAAAATATTTTTTATTTTGGATTATAATATATGTATTATGAATAAAAATATTAATATTCTAAATAATAATAATAATAATAATAATAATAATAATAATAATAATAATAATAATAATAATAATAATAATTTCAAAATAAATTGTCCTTAATTATTATCTATGAACATAAATAATAGTTATAATGATGCAATCAATAGTGAAGATGTAATTAAATTTAACTCTCTCATTATTTTTTTTATCTTTAGGAACAAAATTACTTTAGATAAAAATGTTAAATGAATATTATTATATAAACATTATATTATATAAATTTACATGTATACTTATAATTTTGAATGTTGTGCATGATTTACATAATGATATAGTCTATCAAAAAGTCAAGTTTACATGTAATAACATTACGTTGCAATATGCAGTTGCCTTGAAACTCTTTGATGTTTACGTTTACGTTTCATCGTATCTTATATCTTTTATTCTAAGGTTTCTTCCAGTGTCTGACGTGTACAAAAATCAAATAACACGATTACAAACATAGGTTAGATCGTAACATTGAATTAAACATCTTTTTTATTGTTAAGAAATCGTGCAATTATGCTCGACTTATTTACCATATTCAGTAAAGGTGGTATTGTGTTATGGTGTTTTCAAAGTACCTCGCAAATATTTGCCCCAAGCGTTAACGCATTAATACGAAGTGTCATATTGCAAGTAAGTGTTTCCATCGAGGTTTCTTATGTTTTTGAATTTCATTATGCCAGTATATAATATTATAAAATATTATATAAATACACAAATTAAATGCGATAGAAAGGATATTTTTAATTAATGTTGGAATAATTAATTGTCGTATGACCAATATTTGTAATAACATTTTTTATTAATTCTTTACAGGAACGTTCGGGAAATCATAGCTTTGAATATGATTCTTTACGCTTACAATACAAACTCGATAATGAGTTTGAATTAGTATTTGTAGTTGCATATCAAAAAATACTACAATTGTCATATATAGATAAATTTTTAAATGACATTCATTTAGAATTTAGAGATAGATTTAAAAATGAATTAGAGAATTCCAAGTGGTTTTCTAACTTTGAATTTCAAAGTAATTATGAACATGTATTAGCTATGGCTGAACAATGGGCAAGGACTCAGGCTAAAATACCTAAACAAATGCGTACCTTTGACGAAAGTCAAAAATCAAAAAAGACTGTTGCCAGTATGATTGAAAGAAAAGATGACAAAGAAAATAAAAAACAGGGTATGTATTTGCAATTGCATTGTATTTGTTTCACAAATATACATATATATATATATATATATTTTAAATTTGATAAATATCATCATTTATTCGAATTGAATCTTTTATATAAAAATCTTGGTATCATTTATTACCAAGACAATGTGACAATATATTTTAATTGCATTTATGTTTTCTGATTTTTATTTAATTCCGTAGTGAAAATTCAAGAAGTTGTAAAACAGGATTTACAACAAAACAATCGAGTAAATCATAATGGAGAAATAGATGAAGAAATTTTAATAGCAAATCGTATGAAATTGGCGCAAAAATTGAATAATCAAAAGAAAAAAGTTGATAAGCAGTAAGTATTAGATCTCGCATTGTAGGATTTAAGAATAAGTTGAATAAAATAGCTATTATTTCACAGAAAAAGCCAAAAAAATTGAAAAAGCTGGCAAGAAACCTCGTGTTTGGGAATTAGGTGGGACCATTAAAGATCTTGCTGCTTTAGAACGCACCAAAGATAAACCAGAAGAGAGTGGTGATTACATTGCAGCTGATAAAACGGTGATAACAATTGATAAAATTTTAATTTTAATTATTTTTTTTTTTATAATCAAAAAGTATAATTTTTTTTTTATAAAATAATCTTTACAGTTAGTAGGTCAAATGAAAGGTAGTATTCGCGACATAATAGTTGAAAGTGATTCCGAGGATGAATCCGACGAAGAAATGGAAAACTCGAAACCACAAATGCAAAAGAAAACCAATAGTATGTTTTCAATGTTTAAGAGTTTGGTCGGTAATAAATGTTTGAAACACGAGGATATGGCTCCTGTTCTCGATAAATTGAAAGATCATTTGATTTCGAAGAATGTAGCAGCTGATATTGCTAAAAAGTTATGCGATTCCGTCGGTGTAAAACTGGAAGGAAAAATACTTGGTACGTTCGATAGCGTGACAAGTACCGTGAAAGCGACTTTGACCGATGCATTAGTGCAAATATTATCTCCAAAAAGGCGCGTAGATATTTTACGAGACGCAATGGAAGCAAAGAATAATCATAGACCTTACGTTATGACTTTCTGCGGCGTGAATGGAGTGGGAAAATCAACAAATTTAGCGAAAATTTGTTTCTGGCTCATAGAGAATAATTTCCGCGTGCTTATCGCAGCGTGTGACACATTCAGGTATTACATATCTATTATTATTGAATTATTAATCTTCTACCAATTTTTCATTTTATATATAAACATCTTTCATCGCATATGTATGGAATAATTGATTTTAGAGCTGGTGCAGTTGAACAACTAAGAACGCATATGCGTCATTTAAATGCTCTTCATCCACCGGAAAAACATGGAAATCAATCTATGGTTCAATTGTACGAAAAAGGTTATGGAAAAGATGCTGCCGGTATTGCTATGGAAGCAATACGTTTTGCCAAAGATTCGAAAATCGACGTAGTTTTGGTGGATACTGCAGGCAGAATGCAAGATAACGAACCTTTGATGAGAGCTTTGGCCAAATTAATCAAAGTAAACGAGCCAGATGTGGTGCTTTTCGTTGGCGAAGCTCTTGTTGGAAACGAAGCTGTTGATCAATTGGTGAAGTTCAACCAAGCATTAGCAGATCATAGTCAATCTTCCAATCCTCATATCATTGATGGCATCGTATTAACTAAATTTGATACAATTGATGATAAGGTGAATAGAATCGAAAAAAATATATTAAAACCTATAATGATCTATAATGATATTATAGATGTTATATCGTATATCGCATACATTCGTTTTCAGGTAGGCGCAGCAATTTCTATGACATATATTACCGGACAACCTATCGTTTTCGTTGGAACAGGACAAACTTATACAGATTTAAAGTCATTAAACGCCAAAGCCGTGGTACACGCATTAATGAAATAATTGTTGATTTAGTAACAAGTAACAAGAGACGATATCTTATTAAAAGATAAGAAAAAAAAAATAATAATTAAAATTTTCGATTGTTATAGACAAATTCAAAAAACGAATTATTATTATCTTCATTATTATTATTATTATTATTATTATTATTATTATTATTATTATTACATACAAAAAAATTTAACAAGAATAATATATTATCATATTTAAAGCTGTTTAAAGATTATTCTTGATCTATCCATCTTTTGTAAAAAGTTCTTTTAACGTTCTAGACGACGATTCGGTGAATAGCATTGTGCAATTTCTCTTTATAAGTAATTTAACGATAAATTTATAGAGTTTTATAAAAAAGAAAAAAAATATATATATATATATATAAAATATGAATAAAAAATGAGAAAAAAATTGGATACTGTACCTTTGTTGAGTTTCTCGCTTTTTTTTCTGTATATATTCCGCTTGAAATAATTATTTTATTTCATATGTTTCGTTTTCCATAATATTGATTTTTTTCTCTTTTGATACATCTAACTGCTACCTGTTGGATGCATAAACAATTTCGCATGCAACAATTATTTCATCGATAAATATGCGTTTAACATTATCACGTTTAATATAATCGTTTAATAAATTGTACAAGTTTTTTTCAAGGTTCAAAAATTATAATATCTTTTTCTTTTTCATTCTCGTGCACATCTAATAACACTTTTGCCGCTGTTGATTGAACAGTGAATCCGTCTTACATGTGACCCATTGGTAATTGATCGTTACTACAACTGTTGCTTTCTTTAATTTTTGATCCTTGCAAAGATTCCTCTTCCAATTCCCAATGAGCTTCATCGTCAAATTTTTGCTCTTCGGAAATGGAACCGCAGATTAATACACGCATGATTAAACCTACGTAACAATTTATCCATTTATCTCGGTACGATGTTGATGCAATCCGAAAATGAGATATATTTTATAAATTTACATTTCCAAATGTGTATCTTCTTGTAAGGAAAAAAAAAAAAAAAAAAAAAAAATAAGGAAAAAGAAAGGAGAAGATTTTATGAAATGATTTTATAAAATGTGACGTAATTTTATTTTTTTCTCCATTCTAATAATAAGTAGAAATTAACGAAAAATTATGCAATTTACTTGAAAATCTCATCGAATGATCGAGAAAGAAACGATTACCCGTTACTAATCCAGAGACGATAGCGATTCCTAGTGTAATTACGAGAGCCAATAATTGATAAGCAGCTTGCTGTCCAGCTGTCCTGTTCAATCCGGCAGATATACCATAATTGTCCCTCATTTCGGCCAACTTTGTTTCAGAATTTGGTGCCCGCGCGGGAAAGATCTAAGTAATAAGACATAAATTTATAATAAAACGATGATACGCGAAAGATCGTTGTTATAACTTTTAATCAAACTTGTAACGAAGTTTTTTTTTTTCATAGTTTAATTCGAATTTCATCGAAATCATTCAATCCAATGACATTGAAAATGAGAAGATTGAGCAAAGATTTGAACCATTTCTGGGAATTTTCATTATTTACAAAATTTTCACTAGGAAGAATAAGTTATGAATTTCTTGTATTTACTTAATACGTTTATATCCTTGTATGATCGAGATAAAATTAATCGCTATGGTATTTATTCGTTATGGTATTTCACGAAAACAAAAGTGTCAATTGACGATTAATCTCGAGTTACGAAGTAAAAGTTTACGCACCTCGTAAAGGGAATAATCGTAAGAGGCTTCAGTGGCAAGGGCAGCCATCAATGCGCCGAAAATGCCACCCAGAATACCGGGCATCCCGTGGAGATTATGCACTCCACAAGTATCGTGAATTCTCAGATGTTTTTGGATCAGTGGCTAAAAAAAGAAACGAAACATAATTGCTATAAAGAAATTTCGTTTAACTTAATTGGAAAGAAGAATCGTAATTTTTGAATTTTTGCAATCTTTTCTAACATCCTTTATAGAATATATTTTAAAAACGTTTAATTTTGCATTCCTATTTTTAAGTACACTAATAGACATTGGGATACATTATCGTGTTTCGTGAGTCGTTCATGCAATAGCGAATTTGCCGAAAGTCCAAGTTTCGTAAGGAGAGGATTGTGCGGTTAATAATTCGTCTTAATGCGAATCGTTTGGATTAATAACGTATCCATGAACCTGATAGCTACACAGTAGAATGAATCGATGCGACGAATCTTGGAACTACGTTTGTTTCGTCGAGTTTATGTCTCGTCGAGTTTTTTGGATCTAAACCAAATACGAATTTACTTCTCCCAAGTGAACTATTTATTCATCCTCTGGATTCTCGAAATTAAACGACAAAATTCGTCTGGTAAAGTCAAGCAGGAAGAAGGTAGGCCCGTTCAACTCTTCGGTAAATGATACGCAAACATTCTCATAATAGATGAAAGCTCTTTCTGGTTTTTCGAGTGAACTATCGTTGTCGGTATAAAAAGATTTCATTTTATAAAAAGAAATGTATATTCGGCTAATCTAAGAGTTTTTTTTTTTAAATAAATTGATTTCAATAAATAATAAACGATACACACTTATCGGACGATAAGGATAAGGAAGAAAATTGAAATCGTGAAAAAATCGATGATTTAACGCGATTTAATCTCCGTATTCGATCCCGTCATCCGTGTGAACAAAAATTTTTTTGCACCGCGAAAAAGTAAGAATTAGGAAGAAAGAAAGAATTAGGAAGAAAATATATAAGTGTACAAAGAATTAAACAGAATTTCGTGTTACGAAAACGATTTATCGTGAATGAATCGTATGGATGATGAAAAAAACTTTGGACCAAACTTTTTCCGTTTTCCACAAATCGTTCCGGTAAATCACGTGCGATTTATTCGCTTTATGAAGGAGAAGAAACGAAAAGAAAATCGATATTTAAGAATACATTTTATTGTCGGATTGTTGGAAGATTGTATCATTACTGGTTTAACGAATATTATTTTTTTCCTCATCAACTGAAAAGACTCGTGATGCGATAACTGCTCATTTGTAACGAAGCGAATGAAAAGGATCGAATTACCGTGATATACTTGTAGCCGAGCACGCTGAGTAATCCAGCCAGAGCGCCTACGACCAGAGTACCGACCGGTTGACACATCATGCCTGTGTTTATTTAGAAAATGTCGACCGGTCAGACGCATAGACGAGATATCGTACAATGTAAATCTCCGATTAATTAGATCGTCTTGTACCTGCTGCGGTGCCGATAGCTACACCGCCGGCCAACGTTGAGTTCTGTATATGCACCATGTTGAATTTACTATCCTTGGAGACCAGGGCGGAGGTCGCGAATGCGATCACACAGCTGGCCGAGATGGAGAGAAGGGTGTTTATAATGGCCCTTTGCTGATCGTCTCCTTCGAGAGCGGCACTGTTGAACGATGGCCAGAACAACCATAGGAATATCGTACCTGTCGGGAGAAACCAAGTCTTCTCTACCGTTTATTCTCTTTGCCTCTTTCGCGAACACGTCGTGTAACGTCGTGTAAATACTATTTGCTCTTTGCGTTTCGCGTCGATCGTCGTACGAACGTTTCGATTTATCGGAACGAGGAATGTATTCGAAAAAGTTGCTTCCAATTGAATAACCTTAATCTCTTAAATCTTCGCTTCTCTCGAAGAAAATTTCATTATATTTTCCTTCCCAAAATTTATCATCTTTTTTTCAATATTTTCAATAGGCTACAAATAAAACAGAGATCTAAGAACGAGGAGGTACACGTATATAATTGCGAGCATATAAGTAAATGGGAATTGCTTGACTTTTAATCCTAGATTAATTACTATATATATAGATAGAAGAGTGAAAAGTTCAATTTTCTTATACATATACATTATAATACAGAGTGTATTGTGTTGTATTAAAAAATATTTTTGGGCTCTTTATATGCACAAGTATAAATAAATTATAAAGATTTTCCCTATTTACATATATTCCCGCTGCTGCATAGATATCCTTCGTTTCGTTAAAATACGAGTTAAAATTTTGCAAATTACAAGAAGAAAGAACAAACCAATCATAGCAAAAATATCGGAATTGTAAGATGGCCCTTCGAGATGATGCTCCTTAGGTTTCTCCTTCATCCCGAATACGAAACTAACGGCAAGTCCAAAATATGCTCCGAATGTATGGACAAACATGCTGTCACCAGCATCGACGGTCTGCGAAAAATTATATCATAAAACAATTGTATAATAAGACAATTATTCTAACACGAATCTTTATGATATAACGTATCCATTCATATTGATTATATATTAACTTTTTATTTGTAACATTTCTTTTTTACAAATTGATTACAATTGATTGTAATTTTATATTATCGTAAATATTATAAGCTTGATCCATCGATCGAAAGAGAATATCGAAAACTGAAACATTAGTTTTTTTTTTCCCTATTGGCGATTGTTTCGAATTTTTAGATATAATTCAAACACACATTTCTAAAATAAAGGAAAGAATTCTTGTTCATTTTAATTTTTGCCTTTATTTTACAGATATTTTTATCTTGTAAATCTTAACATGCGGTTTAACGGCAAATCAAGAATTAGAATTCAAAATAAAATCGGTGATATCTCCATACTTAATATCCAAGCGTAAATTAAATTTTTGAATCTCGATTCTCAGAATTATGATATTAAAAAATTTTCCTCGATATTTCGGCAACTATCGAATGTGTCATAAAGATTAAAAATTTGTTCGATTCAACGTAATATAATATTTACGTAAAAGTCTATTACTTTAGAATAGTTTTAAATCAATCGAAATCAACTTTTCCCTTTGTTCTTTTATTTATTTATTTTTTTTTTTTTTCGTTCTATTTTCATTCCATGAAAAATCTAAAATTCCATCTCGTTCGATTTCTGCACCTCGCTCATCATCCAATTTCGAACGTTTGTTTTCAGCGATGCCCGAAAATCGAGCGTGATAATAGTTTTTTTGCCTTCGAGGAAGAAGGCGTAAACTTACCATCAGCAGATGTTCACCCACGTACTTGTTCACGGTGAACATGATCAGTTCAACGATGCCCATGAACACGAGTTGCATATAGGTCGTCTTACCGAGAAGAGCACCCATGGATATCAACGGTGTGGCAACTGCAACATCCGCGCTGAGCAGACTGAAAATCACCACGTGAGTCGATCGTTATGCCTCGATACGCGTTTATCGCAATTAACCGGTATTACTAGCTTTACTAACTCGAAAATTAGAAATCAGTATTCGTAACACGAATTCGCGTTTTCAAGTATCGCTATCTAAGAACAGATTGTTGAATCGGCTAATCATAAGTATTTATATTTTTCTCGTTCGTTCGATTTCGCTACGAATCTATTATTTTATCGTTCCTTTTTTTTTCAAGATTTACAATTCATTTTTTATCCAATCATTGTATTTTTTCTTCTTTCTTTTCAGATTGTTGTGAAAATTCATTTTCGATGTCATCATCTATCTATTTGTAAATAGAGGAAACCGATCACCATTTATCGTTGCATCGCTCGCTGGTTCAAACAATCCTGTTGAATTAGGAGAAAGTAATCGAATCGTCTAATTTACGAAGCTTACTATTAAAATATTTAGATTTTATCAGTTTTAGAACAAAAGTTTCCGTTTAATTAATTATTTCAACGAAACGCTTCGTCAACTATATTCGTTGAAGAAAGTTTTGGAACGATGGAATTAACCGTGTAATCGGCGATTTACGAGACCACTCGGTTTCTAAAATAACCGCCTTGTATTATCTATTATCTAAAAATTGAAAATTTTAAGATGATTCTTTGTTTTTGAAGAATTAACGCTTTATTAAAAAAACGTAAAAAGTTGTTAAAAAGTTAATATAGCATTGTTTTTTCGACTTTTTTTTTTTTTTTTTTTTTTTTACTAAATCAATTGTTTTTTGGACAAAGAAATTCGCCGTATATTAAATTTTTGCCAATAGAAATAGAAGAAATTTAACGATGAGTTGTACTATATCTATTTATTATATAAAGTTATTTTTCGTTATCCTACCTTTTCAATGACAAGTAAGATTTGTTATCTTTCTGAATGTGTATCACTCCTTCGCAGATGATGGCAACTTGGACGAGAATAGCGCCTAGAAGGAAGGTGAGTCCGACAGCGCTCTGCCCGTATCTCCTTAGAAACGTCATCAGGAAGCCGAATCCGATCCAGATCATCACGTGGACATCTTGATACACTGAACCGTTTTAACGGTGGCCCGAAATCGCACGTATGCACAAAGGAAGAAGAGAGAAAGCTGTTTGTAAGAGCGCATGCATGACTCGCGTGCGGTTAATCGGCTTGCTCGTTTATTCGATCGAGATCAGTGTTAATCGCTTGTTAATTGATCGACTCCGGTAATTATGGCTCCGATTCGAATCGAACTTTCCTTTCTACGAAACGAATAATCCAATTGTATAACGCACTTGTCGTTTAAACAATAATCGAAACGAATCTGATAGGAGTATTTGTATACGTAATATCGTAGTAGTGACTACTTCTTTTCTTTCAATTACAATATATACAATATATGTGTTATTTTTATATTTTACAGATAGATAAATCGATGCAATTAAAATTGCAGATCTCGATGCAATTTTAAACATTTGTACTATGAATTTATTTTCTTTTGTTTTTCCTTATTTTGAATTTTTCGTTCGAAAACAAAGCTATTAGTAAGAAATTTGAATAAACGTTTTATCATTTCTAATGTGTCTTCGTATCTGGAAAGATTCGGCATGGATAGTCACTCGTCGTCGATACTCGAGTATAATTTTTAAGATAAAAATTCGCTTTCTTTCTAACGCATCGCTTTATCTCGTGTCGAGAGAGAAAGAGAGAGAGAGAGAGAGAAATTGTAACTCCTCGCGACGGACATTCTAATCGATCTCTTTGGTTGAATTTTCACCCGTTAGCGAAATTAAGCGGAAATAGATGAAACGCGAAAAACGGTTGGATCAAGAGACGACACATCGGTCGTTCTTCCATCAAATATGTTCGTAAATCATTGGAAAAGCTATAGACGTCTTAGAATTCGGCCTGAAACAGATAATTGACGCTTCGCTCCGAGACTCATCCATCACCGAGTGTCACTGGTTCAACGTGAATGCATAATAACCGGAAAATCGGGCTGATCCGGGTCACCGTTTTTGCGGGCAAAACGGAGATAGCGGGCCGATAACGATTGGTGATGGGATTTCTCTCGTTGAACGTCATCGACGATGCGAGAAAATTAACTCGTTCGACGAAATAAAGTTTCGAATCGAACGAATCGATCTTACGTATGTTTAGTATAAGTAACCATCGGTCATGAATTAATAATATTCTTTTTATACACGCGTTCTCGTCTCTTGAATCGAGTAAGAATTTCTTCCATCGATCCAGGAATTCCCATTGTTCGCAACTAAATGATTAATTTATTTATCATAGGTAGTGTAGCGGTGCACACCGATAATTTATCCATCGATAAATTAATGATGGGGAGGAGTTAAGTAAAAATTCAAATAGAATATTTCAGATATAACAGATAGAAGTTCTTCTTCGAGCGTCATTCGAGTTCGAAAAAAATATAAGTACACATAAATATTTATCGATACATATATTTATCGATAGATCGAGGCGTTAACGCAGATAGGTGACGCAATTTTTTTTTTTTTTGCTTCGATCTTTGATCATAGAATATTTTAAATGATTTTAAAATACATAAAAAAGAAAAATAAAAGGAATATAATATAATTTATTTCGCAACAACTTATTTTATATCTTTATAGCGTTCTTTATTTTCTAATAAAAAGTGAGTAGTTGACGTTTATATTTAACTAAATGAAAAAAAGAAAAAAAAAGGAAACAATAATATACATTTAGATTTTCGATTTTCGTTCACAGATACGATAATTTCTCCTTAACAGTTACGATTATCATAAAAAGGAAATTTGGTCGTGAAAACCGATTTCCATGAGAAAACGCGAGCCCGACTAAAAATTTATAATCTTTGAGAAGCAACGAGATTAGGGTGGAGCGACAATTATGCCACTAGCCGCAAAACGGGTTTTGTAATCTACGCAAAGTATCACTTTGAAATTCGGATTCCACTTTGGTTGAAGTGTTGAACATGTGCTCATTCGCGTTGTTCCACTTTGAAAATTTGCGAAATACCGCGTCTCTGTTACGTTTGCCAATATAACGCTTTACCGTTATTATCGTTCCACTACTGTCGTCGAATCTACATCAATTTTTCACTTTTACGACAATATTTTATTATTCGTTATCATATTCTGATTAAAGATTCGCGGTGCAACGAACGATAACAAAAATCTCGAAGCGAACGATCCCATAAAATGTTGTAGAGGAATTAGTTTTATAAACGATGAAAGAATTGCTTTAAATTTTAAAACAATACAGAATATTTCGCTCCTAGACCCTTGGAAATTTTGCCTTTTATTTCTCTAAAGGCGGTTATCTTAAGGAACAAGTATTTCCTCTTTTTCTCTACGAATTCTCATCTCAACGACTACACCAGACAAGATCTTAGTTTCGTTAGAATATGTTCGTCGATTCTTTAGAAATACGTTCAATTTTCACAACTTTTATGGACTTTTGCCATTCTTTTGAATTAACGAATATGTTTCGATAAAACGAACAATTTTTATCGGATACGTTTCTATAGATTATCATGCACAGATATTTAGTTATTTATTCGAAAATCTCCGGATTATTTGGATCGATTATTAATAGATATTTATTAACGTTAATGTTGACGAGATATTATGATATAACGTTTCTGAAATGCGCTTAAATAGAAATTTAATTATTTACCGAGCTACATTTTATTCCAATACTGAGATTCGATAAAAATATTCCATAAATAACGAAAATTATTATTTCTATCTCAAGAAAAAGAAGATGAACAATCGTGAAGAGATCAATTCGTAGAAATGGCAATGCAACGCAAACTCTTGGAGCATAACACAAGCTGTATTTTCCGAAGAGGTTTTTGATGTAACTACACTATTTTAATACACAGTAAGTAAGTAAGTACTTTATCCTAGTACGTCGTCTCTTTGCATCCTTCTTCAGGCATACGCGAATTTCCTGGAATATACATATATATCTATCTGCCTCCCCATCTTTCGACTGTTCATTTTTCTCGGATTCTTTTGTTATCCGTCGTTCTTTATAAAGGTTGACGAGGAAATTTGCAAAGGAATGAATGAAGAAAATGCGTAGTTTGGCTTCAATTTGCAAAGATTTGCAAAGAAGGAATAAAAAGGCGAACAAAGAAGAGGATGAAAATAAAGAAAGAAAGGAGAGAAGAGAAACGTAAAATGAAGAATGAAGGAATATAGAATAATGAGAAAAGGGGGGAGAGAGAGAGAGAGAGAGAGAGAGAGAGAGAGAGAGAGAGAGAGAGAAGAAGAAGAAGAAGTAGTAGTAAGAA